TATGTTCTTATTTTTATCATATGTTCTTACTTTTAACATATGTTTTGATTTAGACCATGGGGAGGTAGGCCTTTAGTTCGAAGAAGATGGTTAACTTTGTAGAGGCACTAAGCCTTTTTAGCTCATTTAAAGCATGGTGAGGCGAGCCCTTAGCTCGAATAAGGTGTTTAAACTTTTGAAGGCACTTAGCCTTTTTTAACTCACTTAGAGCATGATAAGTCTTGCAAAATATATTTAAGGTATTCAATGGAATTATGCAAATATTTTTATTATTTTTCTTCCTGGAAAAACTTAATGAATTAGGTTTGATTCTATGTCTTGATCAATAGGTCAATCCCGATACACCCTTTTTCTAAGACCTAACTTGTTAAGTGAAAAAACCTGGTATTTTATTATAACAAAGCACACTTTTAAGAGAAAGAAAGAACAAAGCATTTTTTTATATACTATATGGATTCCAAGTTTGAGGCAATTTAGTTCCCCAACGTCCCAAGTTTAAAGGCTCCAGGTCCTAGTTGCTTTGTGATATCGTAAGGTCCTTCCCAATTGGGTCATAGCTTCTCGATTCCAGCTGAACCTTTGGTTTATTTCTGTTTTCCTCCCCTGTCTCCAACTTTAAACTTTCTAGATTTTTACTTTTCTATTATGATACCTAGTTATCTGTTGTCGATATGTTGTTGCTCTAATATTAGCTTGTTCTCATTTTTCTTCTACAAGATCTAAGTTAATCCTGAGACATTCGTGGTTGTGTTCTTCTTTAAATTGTCTGGTTCGCATGCTCAGCATTCCTATTTCTACTGGTATCACTGCTTCTGTCCCATACACCAATGAAAATGGAGTTTCTCCAGTCGACTGCCTAGGAGATGTTCTACATGCCCATGTAGAAATGTACAAGATATGGACAAAAAATGGAGAGAAAAGAGAGGTCTTAGGCCCGAAACCACTCCAATGTTTAAGTCAGTAAGAAACAATAAATATTTGTAATTGAATGAGATATTTTATGTTGCTTATTGTATAGATATTATGTACCTGGGTAGGATGTTTGATCCCTTTATATATGAGTAGAAAGACCTTGATTAGAGTTATAGCTGGAATCCTTATTGGGTACTTATTTGTGAAGGAATAGGAATAAGATCTCATAATCCTATTCTGATTCTATCCAAATAATATTATTTGTCCTAAAATATAATTACATCTAATATACAACATATTGTCCCTGATAAATATTTATATTCTATCAGATGTCCCCTTGCAAGTCTAAAACATATGTCCTAGGAGTCTAAATATATATTTGTGATATATTTCATCTTTATTTTATTTAATAATTTGTCTCGTTTACATTTATCATTTATTATTTGTTAGTTTAGACACTTAGCGTTGCTCACTTTGAGCAGTCAGCTCACTTGAAGCGGTAAGGAGAGCATGTAGTTCTAAGGCACTTAGCCTTGATGCTCACTTAGAGCGATAGTATTGGGAAGACACTTAGCAACTTTATAACAAATAATAAATAAAGTAACATAAATTTAATAAATAATGATATAATTTTTTTCCTAACAAGTGAGGTGATGTGAATTAAAATATTAATAAGAGAAAAATTATTTCTTTTTTCCTTCCCTTTTGAGTACAGTCTCCTTTATCTCGAATGGTTGAATTATTTAATTTCTTAATACATCCACTTGACTGTTAAATAATCTAGTTATATAGCTCAAATAAATAAATCAATTATATTAAAAAAATATAATTATCTCAATAAAATAGAATTTATGCAATAATCAAAAGTAAATTATTAATTTATCTTGATAATACCTCATCAATTTTTTACCATGCAAAATTAATTATAAACAACCCATATGCAAGTATAAACAAATTTTGCATAACATATTTTATCAAGTCTGTACACATAATAAATAGCATCTATTCGTTTCAATTGTGGTCAATACATATAATATTAAACTTTTACAGATGACCCAATCTAAAAAGCAAAATAAACTTCTTAACTATTATCATACACTATTTGCGTGTATTAATATTGATATGCACTATGATAGATTATTTAACAAATCTTTGGAAAAATCCAAATTGATTTTAAAAGAGTTCTTTTTTTCATAGCAGATATCATTAGTTTGATATACCGTCATACATAATCAGGTTCTTGTGTCCGCCTAAATTCGAACAAGTAGAAGCCATAGTTGTGGACTTTACATGTGAATCTAATTCTGCATAAAAGACTGAAAGACGGTTCATTATTTTTCATAAAGCGTGATATATCAAATGCTAAACTAATATGGTTCAATACATAGTGTCTATGCAAATTGACACTATCATAACAATAATTTTTTAAAGTAAATTAAAATATATTAAACCATGGTGTGCATGATATGTTAATATAAAATTTTATGCATCTAATTCAAGTATATAAAGTAAGATCAATAAACTTATCTTTTATTATTGTTGTCATGGAAGATGTGTTTATTGTTCTTGTCATGGAATGTGTGTTACACGCTCGCCGCACCAGTTGGTAGACTTCAAGATATCCAAGACTATTTTTTTAGTCAATGATTGAATACCCTATGATAATTAATGATCTCTCTCTCTCTCTCTCTCTCTCTCGGGTAAGGACTTCAAAGATATCCAAGACTATTTTTTTAGTCAATGATTGAATAACCCTAATGATAAATTAATGATCTCTCTTCTCTCTCTCTCTTCTCTCTCACTCTCTCCTCTCTCTCCCTTCCTATATATATATATATATATATATATATATTATATATATATTTCCTTGAACTCTAAGTCAGTGTCTAAATAAAAAAACTTATGCACTCCTATTTGGAATTTTTATGTCAAATATCTTTTTAGTTACTATAATTATAAGAGTTTTATAAGTAAATTCTATATTAATCCGTAGCGAATATAAATATTCTGTAAACATAGTAAATGCACTTTAAAAATAATATAAATGCGGAGAAAAAAACCTAAGATTTAATTATTAGTATTAATATTAAAAGTAAGTTAGAGTGCATAAGATAGATAATGAATTTTAAAAACTACAAAAATTACTAATAGATAAATTGAAAGGTCACATAATATATTTAAGTATATTAAGAAAATATAAAATTAATAGGGATGTGCATGGTTTTGGGGGGATCCGAATCGAATCGCAGAATCGATCAGAACTAAACCAAAACCAAAAAAGACCATTTTTAAGATCCAAAAATCGGAATAAGAACCAAAAAAATTTATGTCTCGAATCTGGTTCTGGTTCTTACTAAAAACCTAACCAGAACCACAAAGAACCCGAATCGAACCAAAAAATCAATTAATAAATATATAATTTTAATTTTTGGATATATTATTTAATTGAAAAACCTTTAGAAAAATTGTTATTTAATATTAAATTAAAAATTGTATTACTATTTACTAATAAATATTAAGATGGTGTGAGGCTCTAAATGTAATTGATTGAAGTACTCTTTATTAATTATTAATTAGCAATGAATTTGATATTTAGGAAGGAAACTTAAATTTAACTCAATTTTCAATTTAGACATGCATTTTTTCCTATATAACTTTATATATATGTATGTATAATTGTGTAGATTTATTATATATATAAAAAATTATAAGCAATTAATCATATAAATGTTTGAGTAATCTAACAGTATTTTAATTATATTTTTTAGTCATAGTTTTAGTTTATATTATTATCATAATTCTATAATTACATAGTTTTAGTTTATATTATTATCATAATTCTATAATTACAACTATTTCTAAAACTAATAATATTTTAATAGCATTATAATTATAATTTGTAATTACAATATTTCTAAAACATGTGTACTTTGTGTCATATCGAATGTCGTTATAATAATTAATTTAAATAGAATAATAATTATTATCTTATAATAACTAATAATTGATGATAGTATAGTTAATTATATATAATTGTAACTTTATGATATTATTATAATTATTATAGAGAATTTCTTCGATTATCATATACTGCTATTTTAGTTTGATATTATAATCCTTTTAATTTAAAGAAATATGGTATCAATATAATTTTTAATGGGGAATTGAAACTAGAACTGGAACCAGAATCAAGAAACCAGAATTGAAGAACCGAACTAGAACCGGACCGAATTATGTTTTAATTTTGGTTTTGATTCTTAAGTTATTTGGTTTTGTTTCTGGTTCTAAATTTAATAAGAACTGAACTATGGTTCTGGTTCCAATTCTTATCGAGAATCGGAACCACACAACCTTAAAAATTAATTATATTATAAATGCTCTATTTATTTCCATAAAATTATTTGCAGAAAAATATTTTCTACAATTTTCCATTGTTTTTGGTGTTCAGAAAAATATGTCAACGTAAAATATTTTCCTAGTCATAGTGCATATCATTTTCGAAGGAGTAAAACATTTTCAGGATATTGACAAATCTTATAAATTCATGTTTTTTTTTAATTTATTAATTATCATAGTTATTACCACCAGTCACCATTTACTACTAATCACTACCACCGACTTCCGACGGCTTTCATAATTTATATTTTTTTGCATTCTTCTCATATTTAACAATAAAATTTTTATTATTATTAATATTTTTATGGTCTTATGAGATAAAAACTTTAATATTTTTAATTAACTTTCAATATTACAACCAAACAACAGAAAATAAGTCATTTGAAAAATATTTTTCAACAAGTTATTTTAAATATTACAACCAAACAACAGAAAATAAGTCATTTGAAAAATATTTTTCAACAAGTTATTTTACCGAAATAAACTGAGCATAAGTAAAATTAAATTTAAATGAATATAAAATTTATTACACAATAATAATTAAAATTAAAATTAAAAAAATAAAAATAATTAAAAAACAAAATTTGTGCAACGTGCCTCCCCAATAAATTAATAAAAAAAAACCCGGAGAATAGATAACGGAAATAATGAAAAGATAGATCTCAACATGAGATTGGAACCCTCTCCCTTGCACATATATAAATAATGAAACCACACGCGCAATAAACGTTTATCGGTTTCAATTCGCTCCAAAATGAGAGATGGAGGACATTGGAATCTAATATGACGATAAAATTATTCAAATTCAAAATTTTAAACCACCACAAGTATAAAAGATAAATAAATGTTTGATTCCATTTTTCTGTCTGAGCCAGCCAGAGGAACAAAAGGAAGAGAGAGGTGAACTGAGGACTGAACTCTCTCTCCTGCTCTCCCCAAACCCTAAATTTATTTCGACCAAGAATTAAAGCATGAGCAACCAAATGGGTCCTCCTCAAGGTGTGAAGAGGAACAGTTTGAATCAGAAACGAGGTCCATCCAGGAAGTCCTCGTCGTCTGAGAATGGAACAATCTCCAATTCATCCTCTCTTCCTGCCCAATCGTATGCTTCCCAGTTCCACTCTTATTTCACATTTCACTTTCAACTGTTAATAATTGATTAAAATATTGAATACTTTTTGTCGATTGCGCTTATTTTTTCTCTCCTTTTCTTTTTATTGTTTCTGGGAATTCTGTAGGTCTGTTGGCGGAGAGCGGACGGTGAAGAAGTTGAGGTTGTCAAAAGCTCTCACTATTCCCGAGGGCACTACTGTATCTGATGCTTGTCGAAGGATGGCAGCAAGGCGTGTGGATGCCGTTTTGTTGACTGATTCCAATGCTTTACTTTCCGGGATTGTTACTGACAAGGTTCATATTCCTCCGTTTTGTTTTGTTTTGTTTTTTTTTTTTTTTTAATTAAGTTCGATTTCAATCATTCTGTTTTTTTTGTTTTTCCTTTTGGGTTCTTGGCGTTCAGGACATTGCTGCTAGAGTAATAGCGGAGGGATTGAGACCAGAGCAGACTATAGTATCAAAGATTATGACAAGGAATCCTACTTTTGTCACCTCGGATTCACTAGCCATTGAAGCTCTTCAGAAGATGGTCCAAGGTTAGCTGTTCTTCTAATTTATCTTTATTTGTGGGGCATGAATGAGCACTGTCTTACGTTTTAGTTTGAGTTTGGAGATTTTTGTGAATTTTGCACTTGATATCAAATGAAGAAGTACATCAGATATAAATACAGAGGAATAGGAGAGTTCCAAGTTTATGTGCACTCTATCCCAATTTTGCACTTGATATCAAATGAAGAAGTACATCAGATATAAATACAGAGGAATAGGAGAGTTCCAAGTTTATGTGCACTCTATCCCAACTCATACATACAACTATTCAAAACATGATATGGTATCTAAACTAATTATAGGTACAACAAACTGCTGAAGAATAGGAAACTACTACGACTGACACTCTCCCTCAAGCTCAGAATCTATAACAGAGTTTGAGCTTGTCCCTTAAAAGCATTGAAACACCGCCTAGGTAGAGCTTTTGTGAAGACATTGTGATATGGAACCCCAAGATCAGCATAGAACTTAGAACTCTCCATCAATTTGAACCAGCAAAATTAACCACCAAGCAATCATGATTTTGATTTGTTTTTATACCTAAGAACTCAACTCAAAAGAACTTAAATAGAAAATCCCAGAATATCCCCTTTAAACGCAATTTGAATTAGATGTTCAAAGACATAAGAAATAGGAATTGAATCTGAATAGCAATTGCACAAATCAATTACAATTCAAACAACGCCTTATGCATAAAGATAAACGAAGGCAAAACCTCACTTTCATTAATCTGAAATTATCCAAAATTCTATCTCTCAAAATAAAGAAAGCTAATCCCTTTATATAGAGAAAGGGTGTACAAAGTAAGTAAATAAAAATTAAAACAATAATTAAAGCCATAAAGTGGATGGCTCTTCAACTTCCATAACTCTCTTGAATCTTCATCTTCTGCCTTCTTGTCTCTTTAAGTTCTAGTGATCCAAAATAAGCCTAAATGAGCTGTCCATCCCAAATATATGGGCCTCAAAATGTGTTTTGAGCTAAAAGCCCAAAAACTTCAAAATTGCGAAAATGGGTCTAATGATGTCATTACTCCATAAAATTTCCCATGTATAAATATAGGTCCAAAATGAACTCTAAACCAGCTCAAATGTATTTTAAATAATTTAGAAAGTATTTTAGCCCATACTTTAATTAAAAGCCAAAACAATCTATAAATTTCCATTGACTCGTTTTGCCTCCATAACCTGTATTGTATCACATTGCCTGTTTGATCTTTATTGGACAGATAATGAACTTCGAGAAATCCTTTCACCACTTGCTCTCGAACAAAATGGAAATCAATTTCAACATGTTTAGTCTGTGCTTTGAACACTAGATTGCTGGTAAGATATGTGGCTCCAATATTGTCACGTCATAGAGTTGTTGGTGATGGTGAAAGGAAAAGATAATCTGGTTGATGGTGAAAGAGCCGGAAAAATGGACTTTCATTATTTAATCCTTTGGCTGGTAACCTATTGAAAGATAAGGGGATGTAGAAAACGCGTAGTTCCAACATTTCTTGGGAACTGAAGAGTGAGCTAATAAGGTGAGACCCATATCCACTATATGGTGAATTTTTCTTTCTGTTACCCCGTTTTGCTTATGTGTGTGTGGACAGGCCAACCTATGTGTGATTCCATGTTGTTTAAGATAGTTATGAACAGACTTACATTCCCCCCACGCGGCCCCCCACGCGGCCCTCCCCCCCCCAAATAAAAAAAAAAAAAAAATCAGATTGCATTGTTTCACTGGCACCAAAATAAAAAAAAAAAAAAAATCAGATTGCAATTGTTTCACTGGCAATTGGAATTGTCTCTTAGCCATTTTCTGAAAATGAGTGAAAATAGGTAACACATCATTTTTGTTTTTGATAGGATAAAGTCAAGTGAATTTACTATATTCATCAAAAACAGAATAAAAAACTTATCACCATTAATTGACTGCAAAGGAGCAGGACCCCATACATTGGAGTACACCAATTCCAAAGGTTTAGAACAAAAAGAATTAGTGCTTGGTAAAGCGAATTTGCTAAGTTTCCCCATGTAATACGCTTCACACTTATTCAATGGTGTTTCTATTGAAAATGAGCAAGGTAAACTATGATCCTGAACAAGCTTTGAAAAGAGTCATAAGCTGGATGACCCTAATGATTATGCCAATCTTGGAGAGAAAGCAGTCTTGGATTCTGAGTCTGAAATTTCTGAATTCCGGTCCCAGAAATCCTGTACATGCCTCCCTTAGTTGGTCCTCAAAGTAAATTCTGATGTGTTATCTCATCCTTCACAAAAAAATAATCACCATGAAATTCAAAAAAGCAAGAGTTATCTTGAGCAAATTTCTGAACAAAGAGTAATCAATTTTGTAAGTGAGGCACAAGAAGGATTTGAGATGGTAAAAACTATTTAGTCCCAAAAGAAATAAGTGATTTACCAATATGAGTAATGGAATACCATACCATTACCAATATAAGTCTCTTCAGTGAATGAGGATAAAATCCAACTCAATAGAAGCTGATCATGCTGAAACCAAAGAAGCCATTCAGAATTGCATTGTTTGCTTTTGGTGTCTGGATTCAAAACAGGTTTTATTGGTGATTGTTTTGTTCCATCGATGTGATCTTGCAGTTGATAAACAATGGATAATTGGTGTAAACTTTAAACTGTGTTTTCCAAACCAAATTTAATTAGTGGAGGTAAGTTTGATGGAAAATGAGTGTTGAGCTTGGGGCATGACACGTGTGGGTTTAATTATAGAAGAAATTTCTGAAGACTTACATGAACTAGGGGTGCGTGGAGAGCTCATTGTAGGCTCTGATACCAAGTTTGAGTTCGGAGATTTTTGTGAATTTTGCACTTGATATCAAATGAAGAAGTGCAGCAGTATAAATACAGTTAGAACAGTTCAAAAGTTTGTGTGAACTCTGTCCTAACTAATACATAAAACTATCACAAAACATGATATAGTATCTAAACTAATTAGAGCTAAACAAACTGCTGAAGAATAGGAAACTACTATGGCTGACAGTTCTTAATTCTTGCTTGCTGTCGGTAGGTTTTCTGTGTGCTTGAGAGATTTTTACACGATGTTCATAGTTACTGGTGGTTGGATAGGTAGTTGTTTTACTGTTCCTTTTGATAATAGACAATAGAAAAATTGAAAATCTAATTGGATGTTGGGATGTTTGAGGGGTAGGTATGAATAATTCTTGGAATTTCTTGAAATGGATTTATTGTTTAAGATTAGGAAGCATTTTTCAGATATTTCTCCCTTATATCCTAGAATAAGATTTCGATCAAAGTATAAGTTCTAAGGATCAAACCTATGTGACAATTAATTTTGAAACTTTTTAGCAAATGAGTTCTTTTTTTTATTTTTATTTTATGGGATAGTTTAAAGGATTCTATGCTATCACTTATAATCTGCAGCTTTGGCCTTCTTTCCACTTGCAAATGTGCCCATCGCCATAACTGGTCAACTGACGGTTAATCTGGTTGTGGCACTGAAGGAGTTCAGGAGTAGGTATTAATAGTTTGGTAAAAAAGACCAGTGTAATGTGCTAGTTAAGTTATCTTCTCAAAATAACATGCTTAAATATCTAAATGTATATTATACATTTTTATTTTGTGGTGAGTGTTGTTGCAGATATGCGTCTAATTTTCCTTTGCAATCAATTTTAAGCATATTTTTTATGCAGCATCTTAATGGTTTTTTTTTTTTTTTTTTTTTTTTTTTTTTTTTTTTGCAGCATCTTAATGGTTTTTTTTTTTTTTTTTTTTTTTTTTTTTTTTTTTTTTTTTTTTTTTTGTCAACAGGAAAATTCAGGCACCTCCCTGTTGTGGAAAATGGCGAAGTTATTGCACTACTGGATATTACAAAATGTCTTTATGATGCTATATCTAAGATGGAGAAGGCTGCTGAGCAGGGGAGTGCAATTGCTGCTGCTGTTGAAGGGGTGGAACGTCAATGGGGAAGCAACTTTTCTGGTTGGTTGAAATTCTCTTTCCTTCTGAAATGACTTACAGAAATGCTAATATTCAGTATTTCCATGCTTGTGAAGTTCAAATTATTTCTATATTGTACATATTGGTTTAATCTTTGTGGCATACAACAAAGAAAAAAAAAAAAAAAAAAAAAAAAGGAAAAATCAAAACCAGAATTAGGGTTAAGTATAAAAGAATAGAACAAAAAGAAGAGTATATAAGAATAAAAGGGATGTCCTCTTGTTTGCCTTTGTAGAGAGCTTATCTAGGATGACAATGCTTATTGGACACCATTTTGGATGGATGGGACTTCTTCAGGCTTACATATGATTCCACGTACAAGCAAATTTATTCTATTTTGTACATATTGGTTTAATCTTTGTGGCATGCAACCAAAAGAAAATCAAAACCAGAATTAGGGTTAAATATAAAAGAATAGAACAAAAAGAAGCGTTTATGTGAATAAAAGGGCGTCCTCTTGTTTGCCTTTGGAGAGAGCTTATCTAGGGTGACAATGCTTATTGGACCCATTTTGGATGGATGGGACTTCTTCAGGCTTGATATGATTCGCCTTGGAAAGTTGTCTTTTATCAGGTGGCCTTTGAGCCATGAAGGACCATAAAGGCACGCCTCAGACGTTCCTTACTTAAGGCTAAAGGGCTTGTGCCTCAACAGTACTGAGGCAGGTGACTTCACTCAGGCTATCGCCTTTGGGTAGAGGCATGCGCCTTTTTGCGCCTTTTTAGCTCCTAAGGCTCAAGAAAAGCGCACCTTTCTATTTTTTGTTTTCCAGAACAAGTCACCTAGGGTTTCCCTTTTTTTTTTTTTTTTTTTTTTTTTTTTTTTTTTTTTTTTTTTTTTTTTTTTTTTTTTTTTCTTGTCAAATATAAAGCTATCTAGCCAACATCGGCTTACACAAAATAAATTTAAATAAATAAATATGAAGAAATAAATGCAACACAAAAACAGGTGATTTGGCTTTGTGATCCAACTCCACTCCGTCTAGCACTCACCTCTTGCAATCTAGTCTTTAAGCCCCATTCCATCCAGAATATAACTCTTTCTTGCAATCTAGTCTTTAGCCCCATTCCATCCAGATATAACTCTTTCAATTTTTCTTCCTATATTTGCTTTCTATTTCTTTTCTTTTTTTTTCATTTTTTCATTTCTTTGATTATAATCTTTTCTGTCTTAACTTTATAACTTGCCATGTTGCCATTTTTTTCTGATTTATATGTGTTTCTTTCCATGTTTTCTACTTTTTTCTTTTTTTTTGATTGATATCTTAAAATATATTTTTCAGATTTATGTATTTCATTCTTATTTTTTTAGCGCCTCACTTCACTCAGGCGCTCGCCTTTGCCTGGAGGCTAGTGCCTAGGCTCCAGCAGCCCTTTGTGGTGCCTTGGGCCTTTAATTACTATGTGAAGGATGAGTTGAGAAATAGATGAAGTGACAAAGTCAAAGACTTAGGCTAGGATATCTATATCAAAGGGATGCTTGGAGGTGCTTTGCTTGAGGCACCTAAGGTGGCTTCTTTACCATTGAAGTCTACTCTTGGGGACTTGAATTAGTTAATTCTCAAGCTATGACTTTGTGCCATTATAGTGCTTGAATCTAAGATAGAGAGGATATCTATTTGACTGAACTCTCCTACTTAGTAATAGCTCCACATGTTACATTCATTGACAAAACAATCTTGAGGGCATTATCTTTACCTTTATAGCCATGTATATAAGGATCCCCTTGAAATGCATGACAAGGTATGCTTGTCTTGCTCAACATACTCTGTGTTGTGTATGTGTCACGGTCTTGGTTGACAACTGCCCACTTTGACTTGCTCAATGACCTCGTTTTAGTGGAATACCAAATCGTAATTGTGCATGAATAGTGGATTTCTTATATTGTTTTTTTATAGCAGTAATTCTCACATCTTTCGACTAGAGACGTGTCATGACATTGTCACATCTTATTCTTGGGTGATTTCTATAAAATAAATAGGACATCTCCTGGAGTTTGTAAAATTAAACATTTAATTGAGGACCAGGACTAAATGCTTTGTAAATGGAAAATGAGGGGGTGGGCTGTTTTTTATTTTTTTCCGCTAGCTTGGAATAGCTTGGAATCATGAACAAGTCAACCTCAGTTGGTATGATTGTTAAGCCAATTCCAAACAATACAATCTGCTGCAGTCAAGGTTTTAAAAAAATTGGCAGTAATGTATTATATCGGTCAATATGTAATGGATTTGGGGCTTACCAATACAATGTTATTCTTGTCATATATTTTCAGATCACTAGTGATGTAGGAGATTTGTTAAAACTTGAAGTTCTAGGAGATTTGGGCTAGGGCTAAATCAATAATAGGGCTTGAATATTAGTATGGAATATCTGAATTTCTAAGAAATTAAAGGACAAGTTAAGTGAAGAAAATTAACAGGGTCTAGGACTCGCTCCTGTCAAAAAAGAATCACACGTTCCAGGATTAGAATTGCATCATAGGACTCAAAGATAAAAGCATAATCTACCATAATTTTATTGATTGAAAACTTAATTAAATAGAATATTATACTAGTAAGAATCTCTATTTTCATGACGCAGGGGGGAAGATGTAGGGCTGTCAGTTTTTAACAAGTAAGCTAGAATAGGGTTGATTGTAGGTGGAACAGTAAATAATTAGGTTTATAACCTTTGAATAGTAAATAATTAAGGTTTATAACTCTTTGAATTAAAATTATGAAGGAAAATAAGATGATTTACAATGCCTATTGGTGCTTGTCTATTTATAGTGAATAAATCCTAACTAAGACTAGGAATCCTAATTAAAGAAAGAAAATTAAAACTCTATTTCTATTCAATGATAAAATAGTAAATCTAATCAAATAAGGAAACCGGAAAAACTAATGCAAATCTGAAATAAAACAGTAAATAAATAAAATCCTAGTTGTGTGCTAGGAATCCAATTAGGACTAGGATTGCTCCTGCATGCATTCTCCGGGTTTGAAAAAAAGACTAGGCTCCGACGGAGTAAGCTTGATATATTCCGCATATATGGCTTGGATCAACTTGCTTTAGCTCTCTTCAGAAATCCATGTACTTTTCACTTGGCTGGTTTTCCCAACCACTTAACTAAAATCGTCTATAATGGTTTGCCACGCCTAGAACGAGCTTCCTTGACATCCCAAACACGTCCTCAATACATCAAGCCTTTGCAATGGCAGCTCTTGTACTTTGTGCTTCAATGGAGAACGGCACTTCCATTCAAATCCATGAAAAGGATACAGAGTCCTGAAACATTAAAAATTGGGCTGATTCCTAAATCATGATGGAAGATCAATTACAATAGGCATTGGGAACTGATCTCTTCAACACTTAACAAGGGTCAAAACCTTCTTATATTTCAGCTTAATGATAGTTCCTTTAGGGAAACGTTCTTGTCTTTAAGTGGACGAGAACCCTGAATTCGCCTTCTTCAAATTCTTGTACACGCCGATGCTGGTTGGCTTGTATAGGCATATGATGCATTGCTGTCTTTTAAAAGGCAGCTTTCACCCTTGTATGTAATTTTCCTGAGTGATCACAAACAATTGCCCTTCAGCCACCTTACTCTAGCCTCCTTGGGGCAAAGGGCAAA